TTTTAGCTATGAGTAGGCTTGAAAATCATTAGATTAGGGGAGTTTAATCCATTAGATTTTTATTTTAGAATTTAGCATTTGGTATTTTTCTTAGGAGAAGTTTTATTTCCAGCAACTTTATCTTTCTGCAAGTTGTATTCAAGCACTTTGTACAATTCTTCCTCTTGTTTTATCAGCACATCTTTTATCCAAGGTCAATTATACTTTTTACGCATTTTTATACTTTATCGATTATGCATGTTGTTTTCTTCATAATTTATTTTACAAAGTATATGGTTATGTCAGAGTAGTCCATTAGGGACAAGGGGTCGTGAGACTTGTCTCGTGATGCATCCCTTAATTAATTCGTGTATGAATTATGAGAAATTAGAGCAATTTCTATTTTAGAGTTCGGGTCCTTAAATATATTTACATCATTTGTGAAAGTTGAGTTAACTCGGATACCAATCATATACTAAAAGGGTATGCATTGGTATCCGAGAGAGGATTTCTAAACAACCGAGTTTAAGGCGACGGTGAAAGGGTGTCTCGCTCTCAGTTGAGAAAGACCCATCCTTATAGCTGTGCTAAATAATGAATTCAAATGAATGATTCGGGCTAGCAAAAGCAGACAAATTATTCATCTAAGAGAGTACAACACGCTGACAAAAGTAGGTGTTATACATTTTTATATTTTTTTCTAAATCACTATATATTTCTCATAATCAAATCGGATAGTCAATCAGGTACGTCAAGATAATGATTCATGTATCCCATGTTCTGACTTTTATTTTGTTAAATTTATTCAGAAAATTGAAAACCCCAATACTCAATCGCTTTAGCTTTACATCGTTAGCTTAAAAGTCAGTATTCAAAATTGGTCTATGTGGTTTGTTAACTTTTTATACTATTTCGCAAAGTTGTACGCTTGCGACAATGTCATATCCAAAACATATCACCAAGCACTTTAGACTAGTATTTTCCTAAGATTAGTTTCAAATGTTTGTTTGATACCTTCACTTTTTCATGTGGTAAGGGGTCACAACTTTATGCTTGGCATTATGCTTTGGTGTTTAAAAATTTTTGATATGTTCGATAAGCTTCATTGGAAGACTAAAACTATTTTTAAAGAAATTACTTTTGGTACTCTTAGTGGCGCTCACTCATCCTAGTGAAGAACCAATAATGCCTATAAAATCTGGAACTTAATCCTAAACGCACCAAAAATCCAACCAAAGTCAATTATAAGACTTAGGCCATAGATAACACCATAAACAATTTCAGAAATGGAAAAACAATATAAATTAACATAAATTTTTGTTAAGACATACATAAAATATGTAACATTATATAAATTTTTATTAACGCAAATCTAACATTATATTTTTATCATTAAGAGACTGTTGAAGATATTTCAACATCTTTATAATATCGTGGTCGATCTCGTAACCATCGCATCCACCTTGATCGGACCCTTTGTTTCATGACGGTGAAATATACTACACATAATCATTAAATTTTCATCTGTCTTTTGCTCAAACTTGTTGAATTGTATCTTTCCTTTATTGTCAATTGAGGGTGAACGATAATGGAGTTTCACAACTCTTCGATTATCTAGGTATCATAAGAGACTCTCTAGTGTGAATTCAGATGGATAAGACGAGTGATCTCTGGGAACCTAAATTTAATATGGGTCTCTCGTCGTTGAAGTAATATCAATAATTCCCATAAGTGAGCTTTTACCTGTTGTTCTTATACGCTTAGTTAATTATGAGCATAGTGGAAAATATGTTGAACAAATTGATGGAATCAAGATGAGTCTAATATATATCTTAAACAGTTTCTCCATCCTCACGCACTTTATACCTAGATACACAATGATCATCATCTAAAAATTTCAATAATTGTTTTATTTCAGCTCTTGGACCTCTTATCGTCTTGTTGTTTCGGGCACGAACATTGTATACTTACTTAATATTTGAGACAGTATGAGGTCTTTTCTGTTTCAAAGTTGCAAGTATGTTTTTGGCTGCACCATATTCAATGTCATGTCAGAAATAAGATTTCTCTCTTCAAAATTAAAGTGACATACAATGGAATGACTGACTAACTTGTAACACAAATCATGATTATGTTCACCACAAACCACATTAAACATCCATGTATTATTCGCCTATCCGCGCAACTTAAAATGACATTCACATTTTCTCAAACTTGTGCCATCATGTTTCAACTTCTTGATAAGTTTTGTGTACTTGCCATTTCTTTTACATCTCATTGTCACAAGTTTCAGTCTTTTATTAAAACCATAATCTGACCTCCCGATTACAATGTTGACCCCCAAGTTCGTAGCCTCTGCGTGGATCCATTTGAGCATATGTTCACGAACAACAAACTCCTATTTATTTGTAAATTTTTTACCAACATCTACCTTGATATCAACCAATTAACATTTATATACACAATAGTTTTGAGTATAACGTTAGTTTCGACATCAATTGGTTTAACATCCATAGACACTATAGTTTTGGGTACAATGCCAGGGTGCACCATTGTTGCAACCAGTAATAACGTAATCACTTTTCCATCAATACGGAGGTTAACTTCCGTATGATTTTTTTAGCAAAATGGGGGTGAATCACTTTGGAAGTGTTTTGGTGTGATTTAGAGGAGTCTAAAAGTTAGTTTTCATAGTATTTTAAGAGTATTTTTGGGTTTTCTAATGGTGTCTCTGCACCCCTAAGAATGAGAAGAGCAATTCCCAAATTTGTTTATTAAAAAGATAAATAAGAAGATAGTTGGTTGGCACTTCGGGCTAAAGACCCTTAAAAATGGAGATTTGTTAATGCACCCTATATATTACTTAGGCACCACGTAAAAATATTAAAATGCTTTCAGACAGGGTCGGCCCAACACATATTGTGGCCTAAGGCGAATTAAAAAAAATTTAAATTAATAGTTATATTTTAATAAAATTTTTATTTTATAAATATTTAAAATGAAAAATATTTATTTAATTATTCTAATTAATTCAGTTTAATATATTATTTTAATCAATAATAAAACCAATTCATTTAGTTTTTATTGTGACATTTTTTTTATATTAAAATAAAATTTAACCAACTTCAACTTAAAAAAAAAAAATTTTGACATACCCAAATAGTTATAAAAATAATTATTATATAAGTAATATAGATTAAAAAATCATATTTCTTTATTTAATTAAATATAATAATTAGTATATTATTTTCTTCTTGTTTTTTTTTATAAATTAATAATAATACATTCTAAAGGATGAATAAATTATATTAAAAAAAGCTTTATAAAGTAGGGCAAAACAAGAGTTAATTAAATGGCGAAAATTTATTAGAGAATTAAAGTTAGAATAAAATAATAATTTAATAAAATATTTACTAAAAGTCACATTCATAATATGTACTATATGCATTTGTTGCTATTCATTTGAAAAGGAAAGATAGAGATAATAGGTGATCATTTACACTATACTAATGATTGGTAAAATAAAATTTGAAACTCTAGACAAAAATATTAAAATTGCATTATTATTTATAGGTAAAAAAACAGTTTGAGGCCCTAGGCAATTGCCTAGTTGGCCTATCCCTTGGGTCGGAGCTGCTCTCAGATTTCAGATATTCATCTCCAGACGCACCCTAAATATATGTGTAGTGAGTCACACCCTTATTTTATAAAAGAAATAGTTTGGGAATACATTTTTGAAATTTGATCCATGTAAAGGTAATTATTGGTCACAATGAAAAAGAAAATAGAGGTAAAGGTAATTGAACACCATGACATTTTACGGAGATACATCACTGAATTGCGGAGATGTATCTTCGGACATTTTTTTTAGGCAAAATAGAGGTGTTTCACCTAAAACGTCTTTGTTTGTGTGGTTTTAGGTCTGTCTGGAGATACGTCTCTGAAATTTATGAAATATTTTCGAATTTTCAAATGGTATTTTTTCATCCCCATAAAATCCGGTTAGAAATCCCTTAAAAATTAAGCCCAAATATATTTACTATTTTAGGTCGACAAAAAAGCTAGCTGGTCCAATACTTATTCCGGGCCGTGTTACCTAACTAGCCAGCAGTGCTATAAAAGAGCCCTTAGCTAGAATTTAAGAATTTTAGTTACTAGTTAAGAGACATGCATTTTGTCCCTATCATTGTGAACTACTCAGAGACAATTTTCGGTTGCTATTGATTATATCTTCATCGAGTATCTCATATATAACTATATAAGTTTTCAAAAATTTATATGATTGCTCCTCTTTGCAGGAAATGAAACATTTCTTGTTGAAACTGTTTTCTATGAGTGTTTTGATTGCTCTCTATTTATAGCTGCTCATAGTAACAAATTTGGAATTTGCATGTGTTTTGATATGGGGGATTGCTCTATTTATAGCTGCTCTGAGTAACAAATTTGGAATTTGCCAACTTCATTTTATCTGTCAACATGTGATTCTAAATTAGTGTTTGATACATACTTCAAAAATATTTAAGAATTAATTATGTATTGAGAACAATGCTGTAGAAAATAGCAGCAAATTTTTCTAAGGAAAAAAAACTATGATCAGTTCAAATGCACCATTCTTAAAGTAGACATACCTATCACTTGCCAAATACAAGTTTTATCCTTCTAACTTCTATCCAAAAGTAGATTTATATTAATTTAATTTGCATCTGTTTTTCAGAATAACATCAACAGGTTCACACAGAAAGGTAGATTAGATTTCTACAAAGAAAATTGGCAAACATGCCAACAAAATTTTGCATTACAGCACAAGTCTTTTTAAGTTATAGATATGGTTTATATATATACTTCTCAAGTGCAAACATTGATGTCTATTCATCAAACTCGGTTGCTGTCTTTTCAAAACTATAAATACACAGCAGCTTAGCTTGGTTTGAGTCACAAAAAGGGAAAACCACTTGATCGAACGCCACAGGCAATAGCATTACCTCAAAAAACAAAAAAGACTTGCCCAATAACTAGTACAGTTATTTGGATTCTCCGGTTGCTATCCCAGTTAGCAAATCTACGGAACGATAAGCATCCAAATCAAATGGGAAGAAGGGATCCTTGGATGTTTTTTCTGTCATTTTAAAAGCCAAATCCACTGCTGCATTGTTAGCGAGAGGGTAATTTGCTTGAGGATGCAAAGTTTCAGAGTTGTAATCACAACAATACACATTAGGCTTCTTTTCATCCTTCTTAAGGTCTTGAGTGCTCTTCTGTTTATTATTTTCAGTCATCATTGCTTCCTTCTTTTGTTCCTTTATCTTCTTGCTTTCTTCCAAATACGGCTACATGAAAAAGTATTTAGAACTTTGAACTGGAAAATTTCTAGCAAAAATAATTTCATCTTATATCAATTTCATTCATTGTACCTGTTTATCAATGTCTGACAAGTTATTCCATCCATCGACAGCCACGCGCATGAGTGTTTTTCCATCTATATCCTGACGATAAGCTTTTAACCGGGCACATTCATGCTTGAGGAAAATTTGATATCCACTTCGTCCTATTGGAGCACCTCGCTTCTTCTTCCTTTCTTTGTCCTTTGATGGTGTTTGTAGAAGCACTTCAGGTATTGCTGCATAAGTAACAAACATATGTTGAAACCTTAGTAAATTCAGTTACCAAATACAAACACTTGAACGTGACCATTTTCATCCAATCAATGAATTAAGTTTTGCTCTCATAAACATTCTAGATCCTTATAAGTTATAACCTGTCATTTCGAAAGGATAGTCCTTAGATATCTCTGCCGCTGTCGGATAATCTCCATCATCCATTAATTGGGACAAACTTGTGGTTGAGCTCTGCTTCCTTTTGCCTGAACCTTACAAAAGTATTATTCAAGGTTAAACATCACATATTCAACTTAGTACCAAAATGCAACAAAACATAATACAATGAAACAAAGCACAAATTGGTCTGTTAGATTAATAAACCTTTGGTGGTGGCAGGAAACCTGTAGAAGTAAAATTTCTCAAATTTGTAAAGAAGATTTGCATAGAGCTTTTCAACTTGTAAACATAACTTTACATTGTTTCCTTCCAGTTTTAGAGCAGACACAATTTCACCCCATTTCTTTTCTTTACCAACCTGGAAACATTCAACAGAATCACCACCTGAGACAAATTTTGATATGATATACGAAAATTTACTTGAGCATCTCTTAACAAATATAGATAGGCCCAACACAACCTACAATATATGAACAGATAAATAAAACCAAACAAAAAGTACCTGGTGATAACCTCCTCTTTTGGTGACCTCCAAGTAAAACTGGTACAAGTCTATGCGTGTTTCTCGGACATTCAAACTACCAAGTAGAATCCAAACATTTCATAAAAATAAAATAAAATAATTATATATAATAAGATTTAATGTTTCATATTTCATTCACATCACTTTTTTCTCATTCTTTATACCAAACTCATAAAGAGAGGAACAAATAACAACACATTTCCGTTTTTAGAAAACAAACCGACTAAACAGAATGATAAAAAAATACCGAAAATAACCCTAGCTAAACACACGTAAATGCAGATTTTTAAAGTAAATTAGGGTAAAACAGAAAAAGAGAAGCAGAATGAAAAAATGAGTTACATGAGAGTGAATCCAGAGGAGTCCAACAAGTCAGTGAGTTTGACGTAGAAGGTCTCTAAGTCATCAGGAGAAGAGTAGTGTTTCACATCAACATTGCTGAGTTGGATATCTGGTTGTTGTGATGGAACCATCGTCTTCACCACCTCTTCCTTGCCTTCCATGTTTGAGCTATAGAAAGTAGAAACCAACTAAACTCAATCAACTTTCTTTCCTTTTCTTTGATGTTTGAGTGGACTTGTTGAAAATTGATAGACTTGATTACTCTGAGATAGTAGCTTTGCACACTTCCCCAGCAAACGTGCCACTCCTTTACATTTTCTCACTCTTTTTATTTTATTTTATTATATAAAAATAATATTAAACAATCCAGAATTTTTTACACCCATAACCAACTTTTTCTATATTATTTTTTAAATTACCCATTTCTCCGACTTATTTTTTAAATCGTATAAGGGAGACGTCATTAGGTTTAGGGTCATCCTTATAAGTAAAGAAGGAACGTCATTCAATTTGGAGTCACCTTTATAAAATAGGAGGGAACGTCATTTGGTTTAAATCACCATTATAAAATAGGAGGGAGCGCCATTTGGTTTGGAGTCACCCTTAAATGATGAGGAGACGCCATTGAACAAGTTCTAGATTCCTCGTATGTTCGGGAAGACGAAATATTCCACACAATCTTTTTATTTTCTTAGTTGTATCCGTTTCAGTTCTAATTCGCGTGCTTTTGGGGCGACGCTTTTTGTTTCTTCTCGTATTTTCGTTGTGGTAAATTGTGTCCCCGTGATAGGTTGGCCAATAGTCCTCACTAGCTACCACTGGAAAACTGTTATTGTAGATAATGAATAAGTTCACGACCTTGTAAACTTCTTATAGTTGCAAGAATGGATCCTGACGAGCACTGGAACATGCGACAATGACATGTGAACAAGGCATGCAGAAGGTTTGAAACTTTCTGCAGTCGCACCAATTTTTATGACTTTCCACCTTGTAGTATCCCATTGGTCGGCCCTCATTGTGATCCTTTGTCTCGTCAACAATGAAGTTGTAATCGTGACGATCAAATGCTCTAACTCAATGTGAGGTCGCCTTAACAGTTTCATCATTCATATATTTCATACATGTTTCGCTGGATAGCTGCCCTGATTCCAAATAGCGCTCCATTTTTTGCCCCTTGCCGCAAAAAGTGACCCCAATTTATAATAGGTTGCTCTTACCAACACAATGACGAGGAGGTTTTTAGTTCCCTTAAATACGTCATTTAGGGATTCCACAAGGTTTGTGGTCATGTGACCCCATCGGCATCCTCCATCAAAAGCCCTTGTCCATTTCTCGACTAGAATGTTATCCACCCAGCTTAATGCTTTCGGATTTGACAATCTTACTTCTTCGCGGTAATACATGAACGACGGTTGGTTTAAGGCATACTCAGCGTTCACAACTTTTTTACGGAGATTTTTGTCTTTGATTTCCCGCATAAAATTCTGAGCAATGTGTCTTATGCAGTACACATGGACATAAGGAGGATTGTGCCAACCATTAGTAGGATTGTTGTAAGCGCTCACAATAGAGACATGTCTGTCAGAAACCAGACATATTGTTGTAACATGGAGTATCAAACACCCAATCAACCATTACCCACCCAAACATTTACACCGATGTCACATTACGACCAGGTAGGCTATCGTCCTGACATTGCCTCATCGAGACAACCACCCCAACAAAATTATGAAGGCATGGGCAACCCCATTAATTTAGATGACTTTGCGGAGATCGACTCGTCTTCATGGCCCAAATGATCCAATTTCTTGAAAACAACCCATTGGACCCGACGCCACCACAAAGACCACCAAGAAATATACGTACTAGAGGATGCGGTACAGGCGGACATTTACCTCGACCTAGTCGTAGAAATTAATGTACCATATTTCCCCTATGTACTCATTTGTTATTAAACGAAATTGTTAATTATTATTTAATATATTATTTATTAAATATTATTTAATTGTTAATTATTATTTAATTGTTAAATATTATTTAATAATTATTATTTAATATATTATTTATTAAATATTATTTAAAAATAATCATTTAAGGGTGACTCCAAACTAAATGGCGCCCCTTCCAATTTTATAAGGTAACTCCAAATGGGATGGCGCCCCCTATTTACTTATAAGGGTGACTTCAAACCCAACGGCGCCTCCCTTATACGATTTTTTTTTAAACATGGGTAGTTTGAAAAATAGGTTGAAAAGATGGGTAATTTGAAAAATAATATAGGAAAAGTTGGTTATGTGAGTAAAAAATTCAACAATCCAAAAAAATATTGTTTTTCTAAGGAAATAGTAGTTTTTTTTAAATAACCACTTTTTAAAATTAAATATCAAAATAATATTTGTTTTAAATTATTTACTAAAGTGATGATGTTTAAGATGGATGTAAAGATAATCGATAATTTTATTGACGCATGTTATTGTTGATCACACATATGCGTCGTTAGAGCCGTCTCAAATTTTTAGAAATCTGTATGAGTTAGTAACAGTTTAATAAGGGAGAAATAAATAGAGGCCCATATTTAATTACAATTTAATTTGATAAATATTTTTATGAGGTTCTATTTAGCTATAGTTTAACTATAAAAAAATTGAGACCTTGTGCAATAGTCCGCTTCAGACTCCCTCAAAGACGGTCCTGAGTGTCGTTGTGGTTGGCGCATGCATGTATGTGTCGCCATTGCAAGTGGCGCATGAATGCATTCACTAGGAGCATGCGTCACATGCAGTGACTACTCCTTTCTTTATTTATTTTAATAATTTTAATTAAAAAATTGAAATAAAAAAGAAAATTAAAACTAATTTATACTATTATTTCATAAAATTCAATTACACAACAATTGAATAGAAAATCGATGATCCACCTGATCAAAACGTCCACCGGTTCCACATCCCGGGGCATTAGTCTACCTTCGAGGTCTCCCATAATTTTTCTAAGGTGTTTGGGGTCTTTAAGTATTGGCCCGAGGAAAAGGTGGTTGGTGCGAGTCCTGTCGTATTTGACATATTTGCAATCATTTCTCCCTTATAGCTGAAGGTTGCCGCCAATGACGCTGCTGTAATTGAGTTCGGTACCATGTTGTCGTAGTTGGGTCGTTGTGGTTGGGTTATGTGTGGATGATATGGTTGGTTGAATTGGCACATTGAATCGTTTTGGAAACGAAACAATGTTTCTTGTGGTGTAAGAAAGTCATACAGTGATTGGGTGCTTAGGCGGTGGGAGGTTTGGGGGTTCATTGGTGGGGGTTGTGGTGGGATGGGGTGGAATCGTATGAGTTATCGGGGGCTATAGATTGATGTGGTGGTTGCGTATGGATGTTGGTGGTATGTGTCAGCCTCTTGGTTTTGTATTTGGGTGTGTGGCATGTATTGGTTGCGAGGTTTGGTGTATATGGTGTGGTAACGTTGTGAGGTTGGTCGTTGGGTTTGGGTAGGTTGACATTGTTGTTGGGTTTGGTAATGGTGTGAGGTTGATTGTTGGGCGGGTGTTTGTTGTTGGGCATATGATGACGAATTTTGTTAGCATGGATCGATCAAAAATACCTCGGCTCAGACACAAACTATGTCGTTGTAACCGACCTAAACTAATTCATATAATGTTAAGTTGGTCTAGCACCTTGTATGATAGGTTCGTTTAAGATATGTCAACGTTGATTCCTCCATTGACGACATATATCTTTAGCGAAGTCTTTCCAATCAAAATAACCACATTGGATATCGACTCTTTGTTGATTATTGTCTCTCAAACACGTTGTAGGGTCTGGAATTTGTTATTATATGCCGAACTACAGTTTCACATGGTCACTCTGATGCATCTCCATGGTAGTGAACCTGATGATTGGTGTTTTGGATGTTCAAAATGAAGCATCTTCGGGGTTAGCCTCATGGTCGAGATCCAGATACTGTCTCCAAATAAACTGTATAATAAAAATACATGATTAAAAGATTTGTAATTTGGTAATTTTTAAACCAAATTTAGAGTTGCTTAGTTGTAATATGGTGGTCTAAAAGATTGTGATAGACTACTATAACATGTTTGGGACATCTGTTGTAGTTCATCCCCAAAAGTGACCACCTAAAACAAAAATATTGAAAATATATTAGTTACAGTTGGTTGTAGTATAAAGCCTAACAAATTTGAAGATTTAAGATAAACTTACTTTGTTGCGAAAGGGAATGTGAATGTCTACAAGAACATGGCTTAAAATCTAGGTGAGAGATCAAAATCATTATCTATTTCAGTTTCTAATAGATTTATGTTTCTCATTTTTTATACTTTTGATTATATGTAAATAAGTTATGTAAATTATGAGAGTTCTCTACATTGGAAACAAACATGTTTGTTAGAGCATGGTTTGAAATAGGTGAGAGACATTTCTTACTGCGGTTTCTCCTAGACATTTCTCATTTTTTCTCCTTTTTTATTATTTGTGATGTGTTATGTTTATTGATGAACAATTTGTGTTTCCAGCAGCAGGGTCTTAAGAAGCTGAGAATCAGTGTTTAGTATATTTCAAATCAATAAAATGTCCAAAAATAATGTCCTTATGTAGTAGAATATTTTCCATAGTTGGATTTAGGTAAATTCAACTCTTCACTCCTTTATTTATTTTTTGACTTATTTTAAAAACTTATATTTCTTAACTTGTTTTCAGAGTTCATTAATGATAAAACTAAGCAAAATCAATATTGTTGATTTTATATTAAACCAATAAAAATGTTTTTGTATTGATAAAAACCATTTACTTGTATATTTATGCGTAGGGTGGGAATAGAGCAGACCAACTAACAAGGGCCTACGATCTAGCCTACATAGGCCCAGACCAGATTACGCTTTTTCTTAAATAGAAAAGGCCTAAGCTTTTTTATAAGCCTATTTAGCTAAAGAGGATATGCCACATGCCGAAAAACCTTTTAAGCTTATCAGGCCAGCCTATTTATAAAAAAGTCAATAAATTTATTATTATTATATTGTATTTTGTACTTTAAATTAAAATATGAAAATAAAGCTTAGTTATTATAAACAACTTATAAAAATAAGTTGAAAAAATATTATAAACAATGTCATAAGTTGTTGTCATAAGTTTTTTTTCGTAAGTTCTCCCCAA